ACATTCACCTAGTAATACGAGTATGCATGAAATGAAATCACCTTATAGCGTGTGAACAATAACATTAAATACAATATTGACAGAATAACAACCAAACTAGTAATTATTCAACAGTTCATTGATTATCATTATATCAGCGTTCTCTTGAGTACAATAAGATTCTTCAGGTAGTGCTTGAACAGGTCAGTCGGAGGTGATTAATTGATTATTTAGTAATTGTCAGAGGTGATTATTTAGTAGCTGTTTAGAGTAACGATAGTTTTGAAGAGATTGATAGGAAGAACTTCGAAGATTTTGAAAACACAAAAAATAGTTTCGGGATTCGACGAGATATTGGTTCTGACGACGAAAATATGCCGCTGAATGCCGTTGGGGATAGGTATGTTCTAGGAGGTCTGTTGTTCTATAGATCTGCTTGATTTCAGCACGGAGATGTCCAGAATTTGGTCCAAATTTTTTGGTCCAAAAGGTTTTTGGTCCAAAATAAAACTTCCGGTGTTTCCGAACAATTCATCCAAAACGCATAATGAAGTATAGTAATGACTCCCTCGAATCGATCATATGATATACTTCGAAATGTTGATTAACATACCAATACATGCATCAACATATATGCCATTAATATTATAATAATATGCAATAAATTAACATACATGCGATCAGTTCTCATTAGTCATCTTCTCAATATATAACTCGTTTGTTCCTCGTCAAAAATTTTGCTTACCCCCTTGTAATGGACATTTCGATATTCTAAGTGATATCCGTCTTCATAAGCTCACACGTGGTCGAGATCATTGTAAAGACACTGGTTGATTACATCGTCTAAACTGGAATTCAAACTATCAATTCCAGATTCTAGCGCATTACTATGGTACTGAGATAGACAGTTTTCTGAAGTTAACAGATAGTGCTGAGGCAGCCGTAGAGACCGGCAGCCAAAAAGTACGTCTGAATGTGACACGATATCGAGACGACATACAACAATAGAGCACGAAGCCAATATTACAATTGATTAATGACAATAAATCCAACAGTTCACCAACATTCATATAGATATAGGTGTGCACGTCGGACGTGTAGATCGCGTTCAGAATCGCTAGAGCACCTGAATTCATCATTATCAATCACTATCATCAGCACCACTAGAGTATTCAACAATATTGACAGCCAACCAATTGCAAGCAAAATTATAATCGTATTTAGTTGATTAAATTTTTCTCGTTATTTATTATTATNATCAGCATCATGATGCTACTTTCGAATTTCATTCTTGTTTTTATCAGCATTAGTTGACTATTATCACTCAGAGGATTGCTGACTAAATGATCACTGTTAATGATCACCGATGATCAATGATCACTCTTATTGATCAATAATGATCACTGTGATCAGAATCACGAATTCAACTGAAACTGAAAAATCCAAAAGGAAAAATAGACCTTGAGGCAGCTCGGTGCACAGAAACACGAACAGCATAATGATCAACATTAGCGTCGTTTTATCTATCGCCATTTTCTTCTTCTTTTCGCCTAATAAATATATTCGTTTTCGATTCGTTTCACTCAGTTTATGCATCAAAGCCACCGTAAACCAAAACAGTAAAAGGCATGGGATCACCTGAAAATAATCGATGTGAGTCGGCTGCATTTGTTCGTGTTTGAATTCGTAGATATTGGTGCAATAATAACAACAACGTTGAAAGGTGTAATACTATCAAACAGAACCTTAAAAACAATTCCCGTTACCCAAAGATTAGCTTTGAAGAGTCGACACGAGTGCTGCGTGGCTTGCGGTATCAAACCGACCGTATAATAAGTATCGTTAACATCGAGGACTGTGAACGCCGTATCGTTGATATACGGTTCGAATGGGACGATTTCGTGCACCAGAAATGTTGGTATTGAGAGTGTAAATATTGTCACCGAAATGCAGAAAAATATCCTTCTGGAAGGGAATTCGATTTGATCATTTCAACAAATGAAGGGGTACATCGAGGTATGAACAGATAATGTGATGCTTGCGAATTTTTGCTGAATTTCCGTGAAAAATTCCCAATTCCGTGAGATCTCTTCCATTCTGGCGAGCAATTTACGTCAGGCATGGATGCCATGGAAGCTCAATATTCTATTAGATCCAGAAAGAGAGCAATCTGAATTGCGATGAAAAAAACAGAAGTTGATAAAAATAATGTAAAATTCAGGGTA